TCATCTTTTGAGGCTATCCACGAATCGATCCAATTTTTTACTTCTTCATAAGACCGGAAGTGCTGATCGGCCAGGCCGTGTGCCATTGATCGAAACAAGTGATAGTCAGAGGGAGCAACGTCTGGAGAATACGCCGGGTGGGGTAGGACTTCCCATTTCAACGTTTCCAAGTATGTCTTGACCACTTTCGCAACATGGGGTCGAGCATTGTCATGCTGCAAAATCACTTTATCGTGTCTTTCGTTGTATTGAGGCCGTTTGTCTTTCAATACTCGGCTCAAACGCATCAATTGCGTTCGATACCGATCGCCTGTGATTGTTTCAGTCGGTTTTAACAGTTCATAATACACTACGCCCACCAAATACAGAGCATGACCTTGGACGTCAAAATCACCGTTCTTGAAGCATTGAAACCATTCACGACATGTTCTTTCACTAATAGCGGCCTCACTATAAGTATTTGAGAGCATTCGATGAGTCTCAGCCGCAGATTTCTTCATATTGAAGTAAAAAATTAAAACCTCCTGCAAATGACGAGAATTTGGCTCGTAAACTAATATTTTCAATCGAGAATAACTTTATGATACAGACACAAATCGACTAATGTTTCTATGGGATTATGTTGATAGATGCCCAAGTTTATTGTATGACGTCTATGATCTATTTATTTCGTCATGATCTATTTATTTCGTCTATCACTTACCGCTAAAACCATCTATAGGAAAACAGCGGATAATAGTATATTATTAAATTAATAGTATATTATTAAATCAGAGTATCCCACGTATAATCATCTTTAAAAAAAAATCTTACAAAACAGAAAAATATAAAGTATGAGGAGAAGTTTTTCAAACTCATTACATGCGCTTTACCTCCAGCTATATCTATATACATAATATTAAATCTCTGTATAATATATTAAATCAATAAAATAAAATGAAATGTGTGTGCGCGCGCGCGCGCGCGTGTGTGTGTGTGTGTGTGTGTGTGTGTGTATAAAATAATCGATCCGACATTGCTATATTGCTATATTTGCATTAATTAAATAGAGGATTTTTAAGAACTTTCTTAGAAACTTTGCACTAGCAATATTGAAAGAACTATACGTTGCAAGAACATTTCAGACATAAAGTTTCAATCAAGATTGCAGAAACATCGCAATGATAATATTTCAGATATATATCAAATATTACAAATATGATAATACACAGTTGAGATATTGGATAGTTCTTGTAATACAACTGAAACTTTCCTTGTTATCAAAGAGACATCTCAAAAATTATAAGTTTTATAAAAAAATGTTTCAAACAAAAACTGTAGGGTTTAAAAAGGTTTATTTATTGATCTTATTAATTTAACCTTGGGTGCCATCATCAAGATCAGGAAGGTAAGATCATGTTGATCTTTTGACTACCGAATTAAGCTTTTTCACATTTTGTTGAAACATTGATTACATACGTTTTTTAATTCATTGATTCCGAATTTAAAGTTGGATTTTTCAAATTCAATATGGCAGATCAAATATGGCCGCCATTACCTAATAAATTAATGAAAATTTGCAGTAGATTCATTTTTTTTTGGGTTCTGCTAGATATTAGATGTAGTAAAAAAAAATCCATTATTTTTGCATGAAATTGAATGGAAAAATAATGGATTTCTTTTTACTACACCTAATATATAAAATAAAATAATAAAGACAATATTAAAATTTAAAATAGCAGCTATAATATGGCTGCCTGATAAATATCATAGTCACTCCGTCTTAGCATTATCCAGAGCTAACGACGTAGATGTAGAGGAATTCTAGCTTTTCTTTTATATTGCAAAATGTTTTGCATATTTATGCTTATTACGCAAAAAACATTCTATTTTAAGTAAAAGAATATTAATATTATGAAAACAAGTAGAAATAGTCAGAAAAAATTAAAAAAAAATTAAGCTTAATTAATTTATTTATTTATATACTCAGAAACTGAAATCTGTATGGCTATACCGCAGAATTTATTGTTTAGAAAAAAATCTGATATGCAAAAAAATATTAAATAAATTTATGTTTTTCTGCACTATTAGAAGAGTAATTGATCAAATTTTCAGATATCTGTATTTAATATTTTCCAAGAAATCAATTTTTTCTTTAAAAAACATTCTTTTTTCGACTTTAATTTGTTAAAAATAATTACATAAAAAAAAATTGGGTTAAAAAACATATCAAAATATATTAAGTGACTATTTAGCTAAAAATCCGAAAAATCAAATTTCACAATTACTTTTTCGAAATTGTGAGATTTACAAGACAAAATATTATAAAAAAAGAAGTGAGACGTATATTTCCCGATGATAGTGAAAGAGTTGAATAGTAAAATAACCCTCAATTTTTTATTTTAAATTAGGCAAGGTAAGTCTCTAAGTTTTTTAAAATGCTATAACAAAATATTTTTTCATTGAATATTTTTTCAGTTCTATAACTTAAAAGTTACTGTATGTCGTTACATTAGTACATATTATCTAAAACGTCTAACTGACACAAAATCTTTTAAATGTTATCAGTACTAGAAAACTATCTATTACGATCAAAGCTGGATCTTTATTGCTTTAAATAAACCAAGCTTGAATAATTAATATACACTATGTATGTACATGCGTATATATCATATTGTACTTTTCTTAGATCTGCGCGCTGAATTGTTTATATGAAATATAAACGCAATTAAAACTACTCTAGTATTCGCGAATTAAATTGATAAGCAATTTAATAATTTGATGCTACCATGATCATATTATAAAGAAGTTAATATTATAAAGAAGTTAAATCTATTGGGAAAAATATTACTTCGGCTGGGACTTGAACCCTCGTTTGTATTCCGTAGGAGCAGTTCTAAGCCATTAGATCACCGAGATATTTTATAAATATTGTTTATGATAACATTTGTCAAGGTTGTACGCCATTGAAAGTTATTACTTTTATTTTTATTTTTAGTGTAAATAAAGCTTTTTAAATTTTATAACTTTTGCATAAAATATTTTTTTTTATTTTTTTATAAAACTTATATTCTTCGAGATATTCAGAAGTTCCTTTTTCCAGGAATACTTTTTTATACATTCTATATAAAAAATTTTATATATATTTTAGGATCTGATTACACTCGGTCTCTGTTTGCCCGCATCCTGTTCCACGAATAATATAAGTTTCATTCTAGAAAGAATATTTAGAGACAGAGTTCTTTTAATCAATGATCTCTATTCCATGGATCTCAGCCTAATCCAGGTAAAAAATTTAAAAGACGATCACCAATGGCTGTTAAGTGGTGCGACACCCCTCATATGGTATGTCGAAAAACATAAAGACAAAAAAATTAACTTTACAAATAAAATAATATACGTTAAATTTTCATGTCTCTTTCGAGATTTTGAGAAACGAGCGGAAGAGATATCCGCAAATATTAATTTTCTCATTTCAGTGCCGGTTTAGTGCTTATCTTTGCCTTGATGATAAGCGGTACAATATATAATATATTCATGTATCAAACATATTTAAAGGCAAAGACTAAAACTGTTAGTAAGTATATTTAACTAATTGTAAAACTTTTAAGCTTTTTCGGTAATGGATTCGTAATACTGCTTTTATTATGACGATCTTGTATTTAAAAAAGAAATCATGCTCACGTTTTACTGAAACACTAAAACAGTTTTAGTAAATTGGAATCATTATTTTAATAAAATTCCAAAAGAAGATATTTTTTTCTCTCGTATAAGATTATTTATTCCTATAGTGCAATATCTTTTTTCCAATTATTTGCTTGTTAATAATTTTCTTGCATTTGCCGGCAAACATCGTTCGCAATTTTTAATGAATACACATTCTGAATTGTGATTTAGATGTAGAAAACACGGTCGAGGAGATGCAAATGACAGAGTTGTCATCTTCACGTCAGAAAAGTAAATTTGGGAATATATTAATGTGTTTCTCCGTTTACACAAGCACGACAATAATATTCAACACAAAATTGGACACTGAAGCAATAGCCGTCATTCACGGCATAAGATTTCTGTCCATGCTTTGGATAATCATAGCTCACATCATACTTTACTCGCTGGACTATTTCGGTAAGTATATACTGACACAAAAATTGTAGAATGGATTATTTACGTCTCCTAATGTGTCATTTTCCATGCATAATAAATTGTTTCATTTATATAGACAATATAATATGGATATGGAGAAAAACCAGAAGTGTTCCCCTTCAAGTGATCAGCAACGGAACTATAGCGGTCGACACTTATTTCTTTCTAAGCGGATTTTTACTGGCATACTTGTATTTAAAGAATAAAATAGACAAGGAACGAATTAATCCGATTAATTACAAAAAGAAGCTAAACGAGTTCTTTGTCAACATAATGAAGAGATATATCCGGTTCGTTTCTAATGTTATCTTAAATTTACGCGACCATAAACAAAGACGCTGTAAGCATGACAGCATCAATAATATGTATGAACAAAATAATAAAAAATATAATTTAACAACGAACCAAATAATAATAATTGCTTTCTTTATAGTTTTTAAATCTAGAAGTTTTTTTTTTAAGATTGACACCGGCTTATATAACGATGATAGGAATAACGCAATTGACATCAGCTTGGTACGACAAGACTTCGCAATTCTACGTTGAGGAGAGACCACACGAAACTTGCGCAAAATATTGGTGGAGAAATGTCTTATACATAAATAATCTGTTTGCTCATAATACGATGGTACCAATGTCAATTTAGGCTGTGTTCCAAAATTTATTGCCAGGACTGAAAATCTAAGTGCACATAACGTAAACTATAGATTTTCAGTTTAATGGCAGTAAATTTTGGAATACAGTTTTAAGTATAATATCATTCCGATATTACACACTTATGCAAGAGAGAGTTCCTATTCAAAGTTATATTGAAATTTTCTTGTAGTGCTTGTCCTGGGGTTGGTATCTATCCAGCGATATGCAATTTTTTATAATCGGTCTGACGCTTTTAATTCTGTCAACTGTGTAAGTTAAACGACGTTAAACGTCATTAAATAGAATGTTACATATTTTCATGTATCTGAATAAATAAGAGCTATAAATTTCAGATATTTTTACATGGCTGTTGTAATACTAGGTACACTTTTGATAAGCTCAATTATCTTAAGCGGTTATATCTCATACATTTATGAATACGTACCGACGTAAGTTGCAAAGCATCTGATTAATTATGAAACTATTTAAGTAAATAAACACTTTTATATTATTACAGTTTGGATGAACAGTACAAACTTGCAGATGTCTTATACTTCCCACCATGGATTCGAATTGGTCCATATATTATTGGAATGATTACAGGTTACATTATACGAAGATTTAACAAAAAAATAGCCTTGAAAAAGGTATGCAATATTTATTTTTATATAAGAGAATTTGATGTAATTGTTGGAGTTACAGAGTATGTAAGCTATCGATTAATAGAATTCAAATGATAATTATTTCTAATTATGCAAAATGCGGGTTGAAATATCTATAATTATAAATGGACTAATTTACAAAAATTTTACAAAGATTTTAAAAAAAGTTGCTAAGTTTAAATTATATCTTCAGTTATATATGAAAACATACACACACACACACACACACACCACACACACACACAC